CCTCGCACCACCATACACATGCACCCACCCCTCGCCATGCACATCCCACACCTTCTCACATACCCCAGCCACCCTTTTCCTCCGCATGTGCCACAACCCCCCCACACTCACAGCCCCCCACAAGCCCTGTACCCACCCACACCCCACACATCCACACACACACACCCTCACTTGCCATATAGCATGTACAACACAGCACAGCACAGCACACACTCCCGTCCCCAACTTACCTTTGCCCTGGAGCATGGGGACAGCAGCGGGGGAGGGGCTGTTCCTGACTGTGGGGGTGGGGTGTGGGGAGGGGGTTGCAGAGCCCAGGACCAGGCAGGGAGCTCTGCTCCTCTCCCATTGTTGCTGGGCAGCAGCCAGAGACACCCTGTGTGAATACACACATACCTTCATCGCCACTGGTGTGCGTTCTGCGCTCTACTGTGCTGTGTTATGTGTACTGTGCATGTGTGTAGCCCTGGATCTCAGCAGCCTGGCAGCTCCTTGCCTCCCCTTGGCCCGCTTGCCGCATTCCCCGCAGCTGCTGCTCCACTGTCCAGGCAGTCACTTGAGAGTGGAGGTTTTAGGAACCCCAGAAGACAGCTAGTCCACCCGGGAATAGTGCCTCCTGGGATATTGGAGGACTGTGAATTGGTCATTTGTTCTCCAATTAGAAGTTAGTTCAAGTCAAGCTCGTTAGCACAGCTCAAAGAAAATCCTCACGTTAAATGGCATAATTTTAAGAGGGAACTTAGCATTTATTAATGAGTGTGCATGGGCGATCCTTCATATTTTAAGAGTCCTTAACCAGGTTTAACTGTAACTTCTGATCTCACCTTATCATCCTCATCACTCCATTCCTGAAGTAGAAATGCTATTTTCAAGTCAAGTTTTTTCTTCAGCAGCTTAAGATATTAGACCGACATGAACATTTATATTGGTCATCTCATTAGCTTGCCTAACATTTCTCCCAACTCTGAAGTTAGTTCATTAAAAAAAAATTACACAAATCATACTTCTTCCATTTCACTCCTTCCCAGGAACATCAGGTGTTCACAGGATTTCTGGAACTTTTCTCAAGACCATCTGTTGATTGGCTCTCTGTGCTGTAACAAGCTGACTGGCTTTCTGTGCTGGACTGTTTCAGTCTCTGAGATAGTTGTATTATAGCTCATAAAGTTACTTAAACACTCCTCTCGCATCTACAAATTAAGAGCCCCCTTAAAACATCAGCATCTTTTTCCTGCAGACTACAAGCAAGATCAGAGCAGGATGTAGGTGGTGAAGTGCAGTGAGAGCTCTGCACAGAGCTGTTGTGTTCTGATGTCTTTGTGGTAGACACAGTTCACAGGATAAGATAATTGGATGCAGTTCCCTGGATCACAAAGGAAAGCTAGGAAAAAGCACAGAAGATGTTGTGGGAAAATTCAGCAAAAGAAAACTTGGAAAGGAAGCTTAAGCTGCTGTTTGTTCCCTGATTCTTGTTTCTCAGTAGAACCATAAGTAAAATTACATTTAGTTTACTTTTTTTGGAAAAATTATTAACTATTAACAGTTTGAAGCCAAGAATGGTTGAAAAGATGAGTCAAGTTTAAGAGCCACACTGCCTTAAAAGAGAGAAAAGATGATGAAAACAAGAGAATCTTCTGCAAACTGACCCACGAAGAAAGAATGCATTTCAGTCGAGAATATTTTCTTGTAATCTTTTCCTTCCACTTTTCATTTCCTCTATTTGGCTATGTACAGAAGTTCACTCTCTCTTGGAAGCACTGCCATTCTCCTGGTAGAAACAATAAGTATGCAGATGTTCAGGTCTTTTCTCCCAGAGCAAAAATAGCCACTCCAGGAGAAAAATAACTCAGGAACAACCTTTATTTCATCAGTTTCTCCCAGGAAACTGAATGTATGCACATCTTTCCCTGGTTTAACTCCTCATCAGGACCAGAAGAAGTGGAGCCAGGGGAAAGGCTCCTATGCCTTGCTAAGACCAGGGTCACCCATCTGGAGAAGTACCAGGGGACAGTTATTCCTGCCCATCCCATAGGCCAGGAGGGAATGGGAGGGGAGGTGCAGCTGTGAGCTGCTTCCCACCTGCTTCTTACACTAGTTTCCGGTGCAAGAAGCTGGCAGGGGCTTTGCCACACTGCTCCCTCTGCCCAGCTCCCTGGAATCAGGAGCCAAGTGCAGGGACTAATGTTGCCCCCTGCCTGCTCTTTCTTGTCTTCCCCTTGCTGATCAGCTGGAAAACACAGGGCATATCCAGATGAGCAGTAGGGCATATCCAGATGAGCAGTCGTGTGGTATGTGGCACTGCAAACATGTTTGCAGCACCACATACTGCAGAGTCTGGAGTTCTCCACGCTGCAAGGACATGCTGCCCAAGCGTATGCTGCTCCGTATTTTTTTGAAAACCCTGGATATCCAGTGCTGGCCCCAGCCTCCCCTATGCCACCTGGTGTAACTTGCTGCGTGCCAAAGCACGTGTGACGCAGGCATTCCTCGGGGACAAGAAGCGGCGGTGCAAGGTGTGCTGCTGCTATTTGTTCCCAGGGAACCAAACATCCACGCACATCTGGACACACGCACAAGGGCTTTCCCTAGCTGGGTTCCCTGTCCAGTCAGCTTCCCTTTCTCCACACACTGCTCAGCTGGACAGCAAGGGGAAGCAGGCTAATGGGGAACCAGGCTGGGGAAAACCTCCCTGAGCCCAGCTGCACTGGCTTTTAAGTGGTCATCCCTGCCACACTGCTGAGCAGCAGTGTGGGGGTGAAGGTGCATGGGAAGCCGGTGGGGAACTGGGCTCAGGGAGACTCTCCCTGGGGTAGCCTCCACCTACTGTTCACACCAGAGTCCCAGGCACATGGAGCATGTAGAGGCTTTGCCCCACTAGTCTGTCCCCTTGGCTCCCCAGAACCAGAAGCTGAACAGAGGGAGCAGCACCGCAAGTCACCTGGCCTGCTTTCCACACCCGAGTTCACAGTGTGAGAAGCAGGCAGTGGGCTTTGCCTCGCTGCTCTGATCCTCTCTGCAATGGGAGGACTGGAACAGTCCATGCTTTCCCCAAACTGGAACCATCCCTGTCTTGGGAAGATACAAGAGGCAGGGGAGTGGAGGCAACTACAGACTATGTCTACAATACTCTCTCTCCCAGAACCATTTCTAGCAGTGAAAATTTTCCACAGCATCTGATGAAGTGAGCTTGGGCTCATGAAAGCTTCTGCTATACATCACTAATTTAGTCAGTCTATAAGGTACAAATCTACCCTGCCTTCTGCCATTTTTAACACGACACATTACTAACTACATCAAATTATATGTTAACATTATCTTCTAGATTTATAAAAAGTGTTATTCAAGTCCAACTATGCTGTTAAATCAGTATCTTAAACATTTCCTTTCTGGTTTCAGTCTGAGATCAGCCAAAGCAAATCAACTCACAGTCTGAAGAACTACACAAAAGAATAAGATATGAAGAAATAAGTGACTATAGGAACAGGGAACAAAAGAATGGGAAGTAGTGGCTTGGTCTGCAGACTGAAAGAAGCATTGCTCTGGTACAAATGCAACCCTAGAGATCTGACTGTCATAGAGCACTTCAGATATACCATTATTAAAATATTGTTTTAATTGTTTTTTCAAGTGCTTATGGAAGTTTTGAACATTTTAAAATCAGAACACAGATGGGAAAACTCAATAGACTGAATCTCATTTTTAAGAAGCACTGTCATTAATACTAGCAGTTACCAGGTATCAAATTCTGTTTGCACAACACAAATCCACTAAAACACACACACATTTTGGTGAGAAAAGTAAACTTCATATTTATGTAAAAAACAATTCTGAAATAAAATTAAAACAATATTTCTTCTTACCAAAAAGTCCTTTATCGTAACAGAATAGTTATCTGGAAAAAGTAATTTCCAACATGAGATATTCATTTTAAGGAGTTTTAATACATTTAAAAATGGAAGATTCTGCATTTACAGTTATATGCCATTGATACTGCAGATATGTTTTCCAGCAAAAAAACCTCTTTGCATGCTTAAAAAAATGCACCTTAATTTGATACTGTACAGTACAACATAGAATAGTAATGAACAAGGTAGTAAACTGGTTATATGCAAAGAAAAAAGTTACATTACAAGGCAGTTACCATACTGACACAAAAAATAAAACTTTTTTTCAGTTTAACAGTGTTTGAAGGCAATTCACAATCATTTCCAAGAATTCTGTGAGATTTAAGGCCATTTGTTCTAAATAAAACATGTCTGACACAAACTCAAACTGTGTATTTTCTGTAAAAACTGTACATGCAAAAACATTTTATAATTAGATATGAACAAGCATATAATAAAATATTTGGGTAGTCCAGTACACAAAGTTGTTGTGCACAAAGCAACATGGCCATGCCATTTTGAAACTAGTTAATTCATGAAGTATTATAACTGATTACCCAGAATGGCAGTGTGATTAGTTGACATCAGTGGACTTAGCATTAAGAGCCAGCATCCCTTTGAATGGGTAATCTACACAATGGTGACACCGATGCATTTTAAATAGCTTTAAAATGGTTAATTATAAAATTTCTGGTGTAATCACTTGAAAAGATCTATATGATACAAAAGTGCTAATGCTCTTAAATATAATATGATATGATCCTAATAAACTTAAGTCAGCCAACTATGGGACTTGAAAATGTTTGACTTGAGGTAATTTTCTTTAATTATAGTATGTAATAGTTCTCATTTTTTACGCATGTTATCATTACCAGTTTATAAAATGTAAACTTACGTAAATTTATAAATTAGAGCATCTCTGAAAAATACATATGCCTCTTCTTGAGGTTTGGCATTACTGGTAAGTCAAATACAATTTCAATAGTCATATCTTGAGAACTTATTTTCAAATGCTGTTTTAAATTGTGATAAATGAATTGATTACTCAACACTAAAAAGAAAGGCCATTCAATTACTGAGAAAGCATGCATGTAATCTGTCCTTTTCACAGATATTCTCTTGTATTTGTTTGGATAATCATTCAAAGAGATATTGCTTCCCTTGTGGCTATAGCTATTGCAGGCTAGAAGACAATGATTCAATATTCCAAACTTTTATTCTTAAGAAGAATTATAAAAGTACTGAAATTTAAAAAGTAGTAACATGTAAACATTGATACAGAGGAATTGCATTCCAGTTATAAACACACAGTAGTCAGGGAGGACAATATCTTCTGAGTTGAAACTGACTTGTGCTTTCCCCGAACGAATAAATGAAAAAGTATCTTTTCTGTCAGAAAAAAATAAGACTCAGAAAGAACATCAACATTTTGATCCTAGCATTTAAAAGCTTTTCAGTTGCTCATGCAACCATATTGAGTATTTTGGTATATGAAGAAAATTTCTTTTGCTCCAGGAACCCATCACAAGCTACTACTGCATCCAGAGACAATAGTAATAATTCACTGGTTGCTTGAAGTGCACCAAGACTGAAACTCTGACTCAACAGCTCTACATGGTTTGTAATAAATGTTGAGTATTTGGAGCAGTCATATTTGAGTCTGTAACATGTGAATAGGGGGTGTATATGGAGGTGGTGCAGGTGACGGCTTGATTCCTCTGACCCTCATGTAGGAGAGAAACTGGTCTGGGACCTCAGCTAAGACATCTTTAGCAAGTCTGGCCATACTTAATACGTGGTTTCCACTTCTGTCGACATAATCCCGGAATGGCACAAACTACAAAATAAAAAGATATATATATATATATATATAATATGTATGCATGTGGCATGATAGATATGCCATGTGCACATATCAAACAAGTTGCATGACATATGAGATTTGTATATAAAAAAAATCTTCAGATTCATAACTTTCAAGAATGAATAATAAATCTACTGCATATTGCATAGTTTTTTTACTTGTAAAAATGTAGCAGATAGTAGAAATGACTCCAAACTTGTTAAGCCATGGCTGCCTCAAGCAGGTAACGATATCTTCTTTCACTGAAGAGGTACTACAAGTAAAGCAATTAAGCTGGTCTATGTAATTTCTTATAGGAAGCCATTGAATGTTTATTGTCTAATAGCAGCATTATGTATTTATTAGATTTATATATTAATTTCTCTTCCCTTCCTGACTATTCTGAAAGACATTACTATATAATATTGACAATGCATGCTGTCTAGCATTGGACATAAGCCAAAAGGAGATATTGAAATAAGATAACATATGACTAGCGTATATTGTGTTTCATGGTAACACATTTAATTACCATGTCAAAATTTTAACTATAAACTGCTAACTTTTTTCCATTTACCACTTCATTTAAAAACAATCACACAAATATTTTCTGTATATTACCTAAATATATGAATGACAGTAAAAATAAAAAGCCCTTATTGATCAGTAATCATTGCCCAATTACAAAACTAGAAGCAGTGAGTTCATTGCTCTATTGTACCCTATAAATCTTACATTTACAGACACTACTTGGGAGGATATTTTTTCAGTATTGTCCACATTCTGGAAGTGACTGCAGTGTGGCATCTTTTAGCCATTACTATGTCCTTTTCATACCAATGGGTCAACTTCCTTGTTGCTAAAGCTCTGGTTAGTATGAAAAGGGTGAAAACCAGGGGGCCACTTCCAGTTCCCAAACAGTGTTCACCTCCGGGATTAACTAAAACAGTTAAATTCTTTTAATGCTGTTGAGAACTGTGTACTGCAACACTGCTACACCTTGGTCCAAATATACTGTTTTATTTTCACAGTATATCCCTATCAATATGGTTCTGGTTATCAATCCAGAATGGAGCACTGGCCTTCGAACAGCAACTCATGGCAAAAGCAATGAAAAAATGCATGGCTAGGAAAATGAAAACCTCCCGTACCCAGTCCTCATCGCTTTCCTGCTCCTGTTGCAGCAGATTGTTTAAGACAAAAATCGGGCTTATAAGTCACCTACATACCCACACAACCTAGCCTCCGCCCCCCTCTTCTCTTTCTTCTCTCTCTCTTCTCCTTTTTTTCTCCTTTTCTCTCTCCCATTTCTTTTCTCTCTTCTTCCTCCCCACCGCTGGATGCGGTTGTCTTTGCCCGCAAAAGATGAACACAACATATCCCTATATGAGGAACTGCTTCTATCAGCTTTATTACCAGTGGAGAATTCCTTTGCACGAAGGACACCTGTCATTGGCCATTTTTTGCTTCCTGAACTCCAAAAAAATTGAACAGAACAGCCTTGAGAATCTAGACCATCAGTTGCACTCTACCATACAACACCTACGTTTCTAGTTTCCTCCTGGGGATGAGGTAAAGGTAAAACACTTTTTCATTCCACAAGAACATATGCATGTTCTTAGACAATTTTTAGTATTTGGTGTGATGCATATTCCACTGATGCAAAACAATAATCTGAATAGTCCTTCCAGGGTGCTAAGAGCCAAAGGGAGTATAAGCAGAAACAGCTTTAAAGATAATTTTCAAAGAAAAAAAATTAAAACACTGAAAAGGAGCTTGTCCTCTTTTCTTTCTTTTTCTTTGGTTAACCTTGAAAACCTCTATTGCAACAGAAAAGCTAAGGAGAACATATTACAGGAGAAAGCAAACAGAAGAATGCTGAGCAGAGACGGAAAAAAAGATTCCAATTTATACTGTATGAAAGCCCAGGGGATTTTTGTTAAAATGTATTTTTCATTGCTAATGAACATGATGACGATTGGGTTTTTCAAGGTTGAAAATCTTCATCCTGTAAATTAAAGCAGCATTTCACAAAGCAATGTGTGCAAGCACCGCTGTGGGGTGTAGAGAAGTAGCTGGAGGTTTAGGGAGAGGCCTGTACTGAAACGGATATATTTGTTACTGCATGGTGGAGTTACAGGCAGTAGGGCTGCGTGAAGCTTCAGTCACTGATTTGATTCAGAAGAGATTTGGCCTGATTCAACGGCCAAATCTCTGAATCCAAATTGAATCAGGAGACTCATTAATCTCTCCGAATCAAATCAGAAGCCTCCAATTTGATTAGGAAAGATTCGACGATTCGGCCATAGACACAGCTGTATGTTTTTCCTGCATATCTCAAGGTACCAGACGCGGCTTGTGAATGCTGAGATGGTGGGACAGATGGAGCGTTCCATGGGAGTGCATGGGGGAGGGGAGCCTCCTGCACGCTTGGCGGTGGACCCAGAAGTGGACCAGAAGTACTTACCATCTCAGTGTTCATTAGCCATGCCTGGTACCTCGAGGCATGTAGAAAAAACATATAAAGCTGTGTCTGTGACAATCATTGGTTCTCCAAATCAGAATCGAATCTTCAGATTCGGCTGAATTGAATCGGGACAATGATCTGAATCAGCGAATCGAATCACTGTCCCCCGAATCAGGCTGAATCAGAATTGAATACTGTCCGCTTTGCACACCCCTAAAAGGCAGTGACTTGATCTCATTTCTCTAAAGAGGGAGCTAGCTTTTGGGAATTAGGTAAATGCTAAAGTGAGAACTTACAGTACAGCTCTTATAAGACCCCCAAGAAGCCCACCAGCAAACATGATGAAGAAAAGATTGAAACATGAAAGCAAATCAAACCCAACATCATTTCAGGTCACTTTCATAGCAGCAATATAAACGGCTCAAAGTTAATTAATAAAACCCCCAAACTCTTCCCATGTCATCTTTGAAGAGTACTTGCTGATCCTGTACTTGTGAAACAAGTTTAGATTGGTTGCAGTGATGCTGTCATTTATTTTAACTATGCTTAACTATTTACATTGAGCCAAATTTCCAAAAGCCTGAAAACTATTTGAAGAAGCTGGAATCTAATCTGCAAGACAACCATTTTGTTCATCAAAAGAAAGCTGGTTGACCACCCAGCAGAAAATCAGAAATTGCTTCAGACAGCTTATATAACAGTAGACTCAGCTGAGCACACCTGTTGTCCTATAATCAAGGTTTTGTAGGACTGAATAGCTGCTGAAACTTGCATATATTTTTTCAAAAGCCGTGATAGAAGAAGTCTAAGAAATGAGCAAATAACCCAATCCAGGAACAACTTTGATAGACTACCAGAGACCACCTGCCAGTTGACAGCTCATCTGGAATGTCAAATAAAGACATATTTTGTGTCAAGCAGGAGGATTCACATCTTTTCAAGATAGCAAACGTTGTTAGATAAATGTAAATACAAAGAGGTCAGGCAGCAGGTGGAAGCAATCCAGGTGGTGAGCCAAAACACTGGTTTGCTTGCATGTTACACTGCTGTAATGTGTTATCTCAACTAAGGCATGCCAATTCTCTCCAAAATGGTTGAAAAACAGTCTCTGGAGAAATTCATTAGTTACAATGACACACTTCCTCCCATTAAGGGTTTTGCCCCTCTGAAGTTGAATACGATAGCCACAATGGAATGGCGAACAAGCAGAGTCGCTGGAGAATCACAGAGCAGAACATGAAAGGATCACTCTTATGTTGGAGCTAGATCTCATGTGAAGTGCATATATTTGAGTTCCTGTTAGAACTTTACTACTGTCCACCTGCCGTAATTCCTGTAAGGTTCCTGGAAGTAAGCTCATTGCTGACCTCTGGGTTTTGTCTATACTAATAAGAGTTTATTAAATACATCTTCTTTCTAGAAATGTTATCAGATGATAGGTCTCTCAGAAATGGCTTGATGGGTATGACTGATATTTTAATTATAACAAGTTAATCCAATAGCAATGTGCAGGCACAGGAAGAACTCACCCACGCCTAATAGCATTAAACATAGTGGAGAGAGGAGCAGTTCAAAGGTCAAGATGCATATATAATGTGAATGATGATGTCTAATAAGTGACTTTTAGCTTTAAGATAAGTTGGAAATGAGTTTGACTTATAGATGCTTTCAAGAAATCAAATCATAGCATTAGCTACCAAGTCCATTTATTTTTATCAGGTGTGGGCACTATCCCAATCCTGCTTCAGCATCTTGCATTAATGGCCACAGTATAGAATACCAAACTATCTTTTTGGCACAGTAGTTAATTCTAAAGGGCTATGATTCATTCTCACAACACTCATGCACATTTTCCCCATCATCTTCTATTCATATTGGCAATTTATATTTTTTTGTAACTTTAGATCAATCTTTAGTAAACTTAGATCAAAACTTAAAAGCTAACTTGAAAAATGCTTATATGAAATATGTTTTATGCATTGAGGTTAAAACAACACAGATAAGATTATGTAACTGTACAATGCATCAGAAATAGCCATGATCATTTATCTCTTTTAACCAAGTTAGCATTGTATCAAAATTGTGTTTCTTTCACACTTTTTCCTGCTTCTGGGGGAGTGAGTAAAAGTACAAGCACAAGTACATTTGCACTCTAATACTGTTCATAGCATTAAAAAGCTTTTTCTACCACAGTTATTCACATGCCACGTGCACCTTTTTTCCAAATATTAGTCTCCCAAACTTGGGGTGTGTGATGTAAGCAGGGAAACAGACATTCTGCCCAAAATAGAAGCATAGGAATGCCAGAAGATGGCGGCTGCTGCTTTTTCTTCCCTCCAGCAGCTGCATGGAGGGAAGGGTACAGTCCAGCTAGGGCAGATCAGGCAGGGCAGGGGGTGGTACAGTCACACTCTCCTTTGATTCCTGGTGCACCCAAATTTTAAAATCAGCTATTTAGAAGCAGAAGTGGCACTTCTATTCAGGCACTATTGAGGGAGCCAACTGACTTCATGGGTCATTATAGTCA